TCTTATAAATAGAACAAATTTAACCTATCATATATATGACCAGTTTAAAACATTTAAGTTTAATTTAATATACGAGTTTTTCAATAGTAAAGTGAAATATATTTATGATGAGTTGTTAATTAATTATGTGAAAAATAAACTAAATGACCTTCTTTTAATATAAATACTTAAATTCTTATTTTGGAGTTAATATATGTAATATAATTTGATTGAAATAAAAATGTATATGATATATTATAAATCACTAACTCAGCCCATGTATGCCTTAATTATTTTCAACTCTAATAGTAATGTGATACATAAAATTATATAATGTTATAAGTAGGAGTACTAAGATTGAAAAAAAGAAAAATAACTTTATATATATATATATATATATATATATTTGTATATATAATTATCTATGAGTTTTTGCTTTGAAAAATTTATTCAAAGAGTAATATAGATATACTTTTATATATATGATATGTATCTATACCTTTATATAAAAGGGATTTTTATTTCATATATTTTTTTCAATTTTATCTTTTAAATGTATTTTTTAAATTAAAATAATTATTTGCTAATTTTACGGTCTAAGTGACCGTTTTTTAAAATTTTAAGTGTTTTTTATTTGACCATTTTTTAATTAAAATTACCTACAAAATAAAAAATTATTTATATTTAATTTTTTAACTATCATAATAAAATAACAGTAATTTTGTTATTGTTTTATTATAAAAGAATTGACATAAAGAATGCATTTTTGCTAATATTTAAATAAAAATAGTATAATCTAACTCTTAAGTAAGTAGATTACATATTGACTTATTTTAACGAGTAGCATAAAGTTTGAATATGCATTTTTATTAAAAATTTAATAAGTTTAATCACTTAACTTCAATGCGATAATCTTTTACAAAATATATATTTATTAAGCATGTATTAATAAAAGTTTAATATAATTAAATATATTTTGTATTTTTATTTTATTATTAATTATAATTTAAAATTAAATAAAAAAGTATCCAATTGAGTAACTACATATTTAAAATAAAATAAAATAAAATAAAAAGTATCCAATTGAGTAACTACATATAAGTCACACTACTGTATTCCAAATTACTCGTATCTTTTAAAATTATAATATTCTATAAACCAATATTTAATCATCAACAAAAATGGAATGCATTATAATATTCTATAAACCATTCCATATAAGCTTTATTAATTCTCAAACATAAAAAGAACTGTTTACATAGTTCAGTAAATAGAAAAGGTTTGATGGGAAAAACTGAAATGTTATGTATTTTGAAAGAAAGTATATTTTCATTTTATCTTTTATTAGAAAAATAACATTTTATTTTTAATTTGTTTATTGTTTTAAATATTATTTATCTTTCACATTATAGTGATTGTTTTCATTTCTTAATCATGATATGTATGACCGGACATGAATAAATGAGCTTGAGAGGATGTACTTATATCACGAAGGCATACATGAATGAAGTAGTTAGGTTGGTGCAAAGTAAATAAAATTTTTACCAACTTTATTTAAGTTTTGTTTTAAATTAACGGATGTATTTAGAGAAAGTGGAGCTGCAGAGAGAAATTGATAGAGGTGGAAGCTTCCTGATATCAATATAGCAAGCCCAATTCCTTTAATGGGTTGGGTCACTAATATGGCCCATCTTTTCGGGGACCTAAACCGCAACGGTTTGGTTATCTTCTGGTTCGACGTTAGCTGGAAGCGAAGAACTTTTCGACCGGTGATGGAATGTGGAATGAATTTATGGAAGCTAATTTTTGAAGTTGCTATCTGCATCTTGGTATTACCTCCATTCTTTTATTTTATTTTATTTTATTTGTTTTCAGTGTAAAAATTGTTTTACCTCTGTTATCCTCTTCTGAATCTTCTTAAAATTGTTTTCGATTTTCTTAAAATCTATGATATTGGGATGCTTTGATGATTATTATGTTTAGAAAATTTGGTTCCTGCGCATCTTCCTCATGCTCCAAGAGAAAAAGGAATTAAATTTACTTACACATATTGTTAGAAAATAAGGATTTGGAAAACTAGAAATTAAATATTCCCAAATTTCCTTCACTTTAAGATTGCAAGAAATAAAGGGTTGTTGATGGGGTATTGTATGCAATTATGGTAAATATGTGTTGCTAGTTTTGAATAATGGCAATTTTTATAACTTTTGCAAATTGGGGATATGAACTAATGGCTTTAAACATACAAATGGGTCATTGAAAGGCTATCTAGATTCTAATTCCTGTATTCGGAGCTTACAATTTTAGCATCACAACCAGAAACAGCTGCACAGTGAACATGTTGCTCCGTCTGAATTTACTAAGAACAATTTCCTTCTTAAACTTGGATGTTACCACCTCTTCTTGTGCTTCCAAAAACTATTTCAATAAGATTATTATTCTATCCATCAACCTTTTAACTATATTTACACAGTTACAAGAACCTTGAACAACTGGGATAAAGAAAATATCATGATGCATGGCTGCAACCAGAGAAATCTGTGTACAAGCAAATCGCTCTCAGATGGATTTTGTTGCTTTGGGTCATAGTAATGGGTAGTTCTTCAGTCTAGCCTCTATACAGATTGGGGCAAAGGAACCAGAAAGATTTGGAAGAAATTAAATGAATAAGTAGATTCTGCTTTAGCACGAATAGGAGAAAAATAGTTCTCATATAGAACTTTTAGTTCAATCATGCTTCCTAACCCTTATCTGATATAGGATGACCGTGCTTCAATCCCAATGTTATGCTTTTGACACCAATAATGTTCACATCCGCATTCATCATTGCAATCTGTCACATCTTAGGAACATTCATTAAGAATCTTAGTGTTTGTTAATTATGAAAAGGATATTAACTTTCATTTCTTGGTTCTCACTCTTCCCCACATTGTACATTCAGGGAATGTTGAAGCATCACTTTCTTAAGTTTGTATGCTACTATTAGAGGCGGTAGGGACTTTGATGATCCACAAGAGGAATGACTTCATGTTGGATGATATTTTAGTATTCAATTTTGATTTTAAAAGCAAATGAGGCATTACGAAACTGAAACTATTAATCATTTTTTGAAAAAGCAAATGATGTCATGATGGGTTGATACTTAACAAGTAACAACACCTTGATTTGGCAAGCTACTTGTCCTCTGGCGTACCGACGAGTTTGTCATTTTCTTTTTGTATGCATGACTTATTTTTGTTGTTTGATAATATTACCGGTATTTTTCTTTCAATTTTTCCTGAGCAAACCATTTTTCTTGTTCAGCAAGCACATGCAACCCACCATCGCAAGAAACAGGCAAAATATCTGAGAGAAACTGAGACAAATTTCCATCCAGTACTTCTCTACATGACATGATGAAACAATACAGGTCTCCAGAATTCTGTTATGTATAAATAATGCTCATCAACTTTACTTTTGTTGGTTAAGGGGCAAGACTTGTCTGTTGGATCGAGAAAATGAAGATGAGAAAGATCATTAGATTTGAAATACTTCCAAAACACGACAGCATTACAAAAGAATTTCACTATAATCTTGCTGAAGCTGTAACACTAGTGCATATGGGTATTTCCTTTCACTGAACGAAACTAAAAGAAAACAGTTTTACGTTGGAGGAGCTGGGATTATCATCTATACTGACGTTTTAGATGATGCTGCTTCACTGAATTGCTATCTATAAAAATTATGCAGTAGCTTGACTGTACAAAATACATGCCTCTCTTTGACAAAACTCTTAAAACTAGATTGAAAAGAAGGAGAAAACCAAACAACTGTTGTGAAGATATTTTCAGATGCTGGTACATTTCGACCATATTTCTAACCTGCTCTTCTTTTTCAAGCTTCCAAGTGTTGTTGTTCTCTATGCCAGCTTAGTGTTGCTTTCTTTCGTAGGCAAAGGAACAGGATGAATTTGTTAAGTCCTGTTGTGGATAGGATCTGATCCTCTTGGCACTCTTCTTTTGCTGGATTGACTTGGATCAAACTCATGGTTGGAATTGGCTGAATTCTTCTCTGTGGGATCAAGTCGTTTGTTGCCATTTGCTGAGTTCTTTCTGTTCAACAATTCCTCCGTAGTCTTCGTGGCATGTTGATTCTGCAACAATATCCTTTGGTCCTTTTGGCTGTGTCTTAGTGCAATTTCTGAACTTCTCAGGCCTAACACATTCTCTGGTTGAATTGATATTAGGAACACCACAAAGAGAAGAAGAATGATTTTTCTAGAAGGATGAAACACCATATTCCCTTCACCCTGAAACAAGAAGAGTAGATGGTGCGTTATTTCTGTTTAGAGTGATAGGAGAATAAGCAGCTCTCCCCTAATCTGTGTTCTTATGGTCCATTCCTGTAGACATAACCTTGTTATATATGTCATACTAGATTTGGAGGGGGCTTTTAAAGCTTAAAGCAGAGATGGCCTACTGGAATTTTTAGATTCATCTCGAATAACAAGCCTGAAATTTTAGCTAATTAAGGCTGTTACTGAAGAATCTGACAAGGATGAATAAAGGGGATTGGGACAATGTCCTTGAGAGGCCAAGTATATTTCTTTTTTCATTTCCTTCCCTACATGTCTATCATATGCCTGCTTTTTTCACCAAAAGAAGCCATACACCGTTGCCTGGACTCTGTCCAACTTGCCACATCATACCATACTTGTGTATGGATAAATAGGTCTTACATTCTCCGGTGTTTAAGCTTGGTAATGGCGTACTTGGATAATTCAAAATATTTATCTTTTAAATTTGTGTATCAATTCAAGTGGAGTACTTCAATGATTGGATGATAGTATTTTATTATAACAACAAAAACCTACATATGTTAATGCTTCGTTCTGATTTTGGATTTCTGTTTTGTGTTTATATTATATTATATTAATTTTATATAGTGAATCTTAATATCTACGTATGTCAGCTTAATACATGTTAATCTCATAACAAGCTGCATTATAATTTTGCAAAAGGTGCGCAGGTTTTCGGCATATAAAACTCTGGTCTGGGTTAATGGTAAATTACAATTCCTTTGTTATTAAGAAAGAGCCGTGTTAAATATTATTTACTTTAATTAGCAAGACCATAACAGTGACAATGGGCCAGGCTGAAGGAGGAGATTGCAACATTGCAAGCAGGTTATGTAAAGAATAGATAGGGGAATAGAACAGTTCCCAAAAGAAACAAACACTTGCTTTATGTACTTTTCTAACTTCTCTAAGATCTCCAAGTAACTTTAGAATTCCAAGCTCACTTCCCAAGGTAACAAAAACAACACTACTAGATTTCTTGGGCTGAATGTTACCTTTATGCTTTGTTCTACTTTTGGATTAGATGGGTTGCCAAACTCTATTTGTCCCTTCAAAATTTTTTGCTCTCTCTCTCTCTCTCTCTCCCTTTCTCTTATTTTACTTTATTTAACATAAAATATCACATGCAACTAGGAACTGTCGAAAGCATAAATTCCTTGGTTTATTCTTAAATCTGAAGGGTGACTGGTCATGGTCCAAGAGAAACAACCAGCGGATTGAAATTTATCTCCTCTTTTCTAGATTTTCTTTTCTTTTGTTAATATTAAAGTGAGAGTTAAAATGACTCGTTGCTTTCTTCCTATATGGTTTGAAACTGCCTTTTGAGAGTGTCACCTCGTTTCTAATCACATCTCCTTAGAAGAATATGCTTTTTATTCTCTTCTGATTATTTATTACATTGATATGCCAAAGGCCTAACATGTTGCATGCTAAATGTTAGGGATAATGGTTTGTGTTCGATAAGGTCATCTTTTCGTGGTACATGACCCATCAAATTGAGAGAAGCATAAGCTCCTTATCTTCAAATAGATGATAGCTTTGGGATCCTTACATGGTTAGTTTCAAAGGGGTCCAAACCAAACGGCTTACTTTTTCTTTTGCTGGTAAACTATTTCGTTAGAAAGATTATGAAAATAATTGCACTCTTCCTGTGTCCCAAAAAAGTGTTGTCTGTTGATCTTGTCGCAAGAACATCACCACCTTCGTTGATCCCTAGAGGATGCCAAGTGCCAAAATGCTTTACACGTACGTCAATGTACATATTATACGGATATCAATATAATATCATATTCTCAAATGTTACTGTCTAAAAAGTAATTATATATGAATGATTATCTACTTTAAGTAATTGATCATTTGATGTCATTACTCTTTTAGACGATAGCATTTGAGAATTATGATGATCAATTACTTTGAATAGACTATTAGCACTTACAAGTTATGTTAATTACATTGATATGACCTATTAAATTTATATTTTTCTTCTTCTCTCTATTTTCTTGGTGTCATCTAGCATTTGAGTGTCCACCCATTATTTTCGTTTTTAAGATCCTTTTGCCAAAATGGGAAATAAGTAAAAAAATGCTTAGTGGGGTCCTATTAGTACAAAGGATCTATGGTACGGTATGTACAATGCTAAGGGCAACTTGTTGGGTACTCCTATTTTCCGTTAGAAAATGAGTGACACCAATCTATCTAAACATCTTGGTGGCAACCAGTTTCCATGGTTAACATTTTTGCAGTATGAAACACAACAAAGATGAAAATGTTACACATTTAGGCTTTCCTAGATTCTGAAGACTGGTCTTAAAGGTGTAGGCTCTTTGTGAAATTGTTTTGAACCAAAGTGTTCCCCATAAGGCCAATGAACACTCACTGAACAAGGCCACCACAAAACCACAAAAGACACCAAAAGAAGAATGGCAAAGCAACTTAAAGAAGATAAAGGCAAAAAACGAGTTGTAATTGTTACAGATAGCATCCATCCCCCATCTTTGAATAGTTTGATTTTGGTTTTTAGTTATTTGCTTTATATTAGTCTTGGATTTACTTGACAACTTCTAGACATTAAACAGCCTGGAACATAAGCACTCATGAAACTGTGGTCTCGCCAATTTGAGTAATCAAATCTTGTGAAAGAACTAGGGGAATAAGCAAAATGGTAGTAAAAAGATTATGAGGGAATTTTTAATATGAAGAATGAATGAATTGCAAGTTTGGAACATATTTGCTATGTAGGAGCAATCAAAGTTGATTATAAGACTGGTTGGCTGCTATACATTCTTTACAAAAGAAAGGAAAAAAAGTTGAGCTACAAAGAGAATGTCACCAAAACATAAGCTAAAGTGAGATGCTTCTTTGCCATGGCTTTGATTTAAAATGCTTGGCCATCTTCAGTTATAATCATAACTAGGCTGTGTTATAATATATGCTTATCTGCTTTGTTCAAAAGAGATAAAAACAAAAAATCTAATCAGACGTCAATTAATTCCCATATTGCCCCACTGGTCCCTGTCTGTCAGAGACTGTTATTTCTTTATCAATTTCGATACAACAATATCATGTTAAAAAATTCTGAACTGTTTGGTGCCTCTTAATGTCATATTCAAAGAATTCGTATTCTATAATGTTTTTTTACACTGATTTTAATATATTAAATGGTGTTTTTATTATATTTTAAAGTAATAAAAGCAGTGTAAATTGAAGACATAGACATATAAAAAAACCTGGTAAAAAAATTAATTAGAAAAAATTTATAGCCATAATTTAAGTTCTATTATCATTTCCAAAAGGTTTAGAAGTATTCTTACCCATGTCTCTCATATTATCAATCACCTTTTATTTAATGTAATATCTGTTTTGTTTTAGAAGATAAAAAAAGAAATGAGTATTTAAATTGTTTTAGGCATATATTCTTAAGTGATAAAAATTATTAGTTGTGATAGAAATATAAGTTTTTTGTCAAGGTTTAAGAGGAATGACTAGTCATTCCTAATGGAGAGTTTAGAGGATTAATGGTCTGATTGAAAATTGTTATCGGTCCTACAGTGGACACCGATGTTTCGAACCTAAGCCTATCAAGTAATATCCTTAAGATCAATCATTCCTTATCTAAAGTATTGTTTGCTTTGAAGCTTGTGTTTCGTCACAATTTTGTTCTTAAAAGACATATGTCTGCCGTCGATGGACATTGTTAGAGTCAATCACCTCTTATCCAATGTATTATCTGCTTTACTCTGATGGTGAAAGACGTAATGAATAAGTATTTAAATTGTCAGATCTAAGGAGAATGATTAGTCATCTTCAATTGATGGTTTAAGAGACTGATAATTTGTCTGAAAATCTTATTATCGATCTTACGGTGGACACCAATGTTCCGAACTCAAATCCGTTGAGTAACATCTTTAGGATCAATCACTCTCTATTCAAGATATTGTCTACTCTAGAGTTTGAGTTTCATCATAATTTTGTCCTTAGAAGACATCTATGAGGTATTTCACCTCTTTTAAACCTTGATTTTTAAGTGAAGTGAAACTATTGAACTTAGAATAAGTAAAAAGTTGTAATTTATATGAAAAATATTTCATATCTTGAATACATTCATTTTGTTTTATTTTTTATATTTTTTTTTCAATCCAAAGAAATAATATTAATTATTTGACTTAGAAAAGAGAGAGGAGGGAAAAAAAAGTTAGAATTGATTTTATTATTTCTCACATTTTTATTAATTTTTCTTTTTTTTAAATTAATCAAATCACGTGACTTTTAAAACAGTTGTTCTCTGTTTTTTACTTATTTTTATTTTATCAAATATCCAAACATTTACATTTTTACTAAATCACTGATAAAATCTTCGTAGGTGCTTTCCCTAATCAATAAAAAGAAGAAAAGCGTAAATTATAATATAAATTAATTTTAATATTCTTTTTTATCTTATTTAACGTTGTTATTTCAAAAAATCATTCAATTAATTGAGATTCTATTTTAATATTTTTTTATATCAAGTTCTAATGAAGTAATATTTAAAAAAACAGATATTTTAATATGATTAACAAATTAAATAATACTAATTAAATTTTTAATTAGCATAAACGATAGTTTTTTTGTTTACATTTAAGTTAAGGAGTAGTCTATAATTGTAGAAAAGTACTAAAAACATATTTCCTATAACACAATCTCTTTTGTTATTACGATTAAAAGGTAATGTCGACCAATATTCTTAAAATAGTGATTAAAAAATCGAAAATAGTAAGAAATTCCATTTAAAAATATGATTAATGTACATCTATTATGATTTCTATAACATTACTTCTTCATGCGGATTTCAATAAGAATAATGATTTTGAATTTCTTAACCAGAATACTTTTAACAAAAGTCTAATTAAAATTTACTAAAAACTATAAAATCATGTGTTGATGGAATAACTCTGTTCAATTAAAAATTAACTTTAGCGTATTCACGTTTTAAGTTTAACTCATCTTAGTAGGAATAATGTCCTATTTTTCAACATTTATATTTTTAATGACTATATGCTAATAATGAAAAAATTATGATTACAAATATTTTGTATGATATTTTTTAAAGTAGAAAATATACTTTAATTTTAATTTATACTTCTTTAGTAAGTAAGCCCGTGATTTAGTTCATCGAATTAGAATTACAAATATTTAAGTTTGATTATCTTCATTTCCCTTTTGATAAGGACAAAGTAGATTCATCGATTGGTTTATAAGAGATAGATAAAAAAAAATATTAAAACATATTCTCATCTTTATATAGGTTGAAGAATATCACCAGAAACATGTACATATTTATTTTATTTTTTTAAGTTTTACTTGCATATCGTTTTAAATAAATTTTTAAATTAAGTTTTTCGGATGTTTTATTTCAAATAATATATACAAATTAAACAACATATATAAAAAAGAAAAAGAAAAAATATATATTATATTTTCATATAAATTTTTAATTTCATTTGTATTATTTAACTGTTGTTGCAATTGGCATTGTTTAATAATTAAAGTGGTTAATTTAATGCTTTTAATAAGTTAAAAAATAGTGTGTTCGATATATTAGGCGTGTCTTGTAATTATTAGTTTACATATTCTCAATTTATATATATATATATATATATATATATATATATATATATATATATGTGGGGTTACTTACTTATATAATTTATTAAAGTGTATCAAATTTTAATTGAGAAAAGTACTCTCATACATTATAGATTCTAAGTTTTACAAAATATTTATATTAAAATCTTTTCTATAATTATTAAAATCCTTTTATTAAATATAAATATTTTGTAAAGATTAAAACCAACTATCAAGAATCAAAATAAAAGTAAAGAAAAAAAAGCATACTTGAGAATACGAACAGTTAATCCAATACTTATTCATCATGCTACAATTGTATAAAAACCAATTCCACATAACTAAAACAAAACAGACCGTTTTTAACTTTATTGGTCAGATATGATTTTGGAAGGAAGAATTGATTCTCATAGTTTTCCAAACACAGTAATGATTAGATGCAAGCACCGTCAAACAAATATGCTCAATTAATCGTCATTTTCCATATAAATCTCATACTATATAGTAGCTGAATGATTAGGTTACATTCACATATAGATGAATTGAATTGATAACAATGGATTCTTGAATATCGTTTTACCATCCCCCGAGTATGTACATGTACATACATTAGAGCTGAGATAATCAAAGGTAAAAACGCACTGCATTTCAACAAACCTTCCGAATATTTAAACATAGAACCATAAAAATTACACTTGTTCCTGGTGTACCGTGGCTGGTCCTGGTGCTATTGCGAACTGTAGACCTCTACGCTGCCCAGATTGCAGAACAAAAGCAACTTGGGTTGCCGCTAGTGCTGCAGCTTCCTGCTTCACAATATAATACAAAAATGTAAGAAATTACATACAAGGGAGAAAATCCCACTGCATGTATTGCAGTTTCCCAGATGCACATGAACACGAACATTGGATGCAACCCAAAATGAAACCATACATAGCATTACTATTCTGAAAATAATGGACTGACTAAGAAAATCAGAACAAATATTAATAACTATAATGAATACTGACTTGTCTCTGTCGTCGACGCTGCAGAATACTGATTGCCCAGGCCATAATGTAGCAAGGTAATAAAAATCCAGCCGCTCGAAGCAAGAAAAGCTGACGAGAATTGTGAGCTAATTAGGTTTGGCTCCAGATGCATTTGAAATCAACACATAATGGGACATATGAACAACTTAAAGAAACTAAATTCACTTACAGAGAAAAAATTGGATGGATCATCGTCAGAAGAATCACTATCCGAGACAGAAAGTGCATGCCGCAAGAGGAGAAGAGCCATTAACTGATCCAAAAGAAGAGTTAGGCTTTAAATCATGTCCACATACTAGCTTGTTCACATTATAAAGTATAACAAATGCACGTCAAGTATATAACAGCACTAAATGAAACGAA